CGCTAAACACTTCCTGGTCTGGCAGACTGAAGCCAATTCTTGAGGAATCCAGACCCCTCTCCCCCCAAAACAGTCATCTACAAGATGGGAAAACAAGTCAGGTGGCCTCAGATGTGGCCAAAGCAACGTTTGGGGGCAAGAAGGTAATCCAACCCCCCACAGATGGGAGGAGAAAGGGAATTGTGATTCAGAGACAGGAAACAGAACAAGGAGTGTTCAAGCTGGACGTTCAACATGTTCAAAATACCCTCCATCCTCATCATTCACGGATGCTATAACTGGGGACGTGCCTACCATTTGTAACCCCCAAATCAATGCTTTACACCCTTTCGTGATCATCTACAGACACGCACAAAGTAGCAAAAACTGTGAGGACCCCCTGCACACGTCCCCACGTGAGGCCCAACAAGGCACCGCTCCGCCTCCTGGTTTTGGCTCATGATACAAACGAGCATCCTCACTGGAGTCTACTTAGTGACACATTTGTCACGCTTCTTGTGCTTTCCATTGGTGATGTCACCATTTACAAGGGCCACAGGGAGGTGCTGAGGCGTCCACAGTATTCCTACGCGAAATGCAAGTGTTGGAGAAGCTTCGTTTAGGCATGAGTGACAACAGTATCGGCCATCAGTTCGGCCTTAGTGAATCAACAATACAAGCTAAATTAGGTGCCTTTAAAGAGAAACACACATAAAATAAGATTATGCATTGACCGGTTGTGGAAACATTGATCAGGGGCTTGCAGAACCTAACCCTAGGGGGACCCTAGGAGCGACAGGTCAGTACTCTCTACGGCAGAGAACCACCCAGGAAGCTCTGCTGCCCTCAGGACTCCTCCTAACATCTAACTCCATCCAACCAAGGGGCGAAACAAAATAAGGAACTGCAAAAAGCAAAGACGGTTGCAAAGGCTGGCAGTGGGCATGTACCCCTGGAAGGAGACGAGGTGACTCCAGTGCTGGGGAGGCACGAGGGGCACCAAGTGTCTGGACAGTGACCGCCTGCAAATAGTTCTGTACCCAGCGAGAGTCAGCAGGTGGGGGAGAGAAGGGTGTGTACGTGCACGTGCAACTAGCTACTTGTTCACCAAACCTCTGCCCTTTCGCTCCTGGGCTCCGAGCTGAACGGCCCTTGCAGCCGCCCCTGTAGTCAGGCGCAGCCTCCTGCGGGGGCCAGGGAGAGTAGGGAGGTGGCGTGCTCCCTGAGCTCTCCCTCCCCTCCCTCACCTTCCGGGCAGACACAGAGGACCCCAGGAGGGACTCCGGAGCTCCAGGGAACAGCACAGCCACCCAGTGGAAACAGCCTGGGTCCCTGAATCTCTGCGTGGATCCGAACTTCCCACCTCTTCACCCTGCCTACCCCGGCGGACTGAGAACAAAGAAATAAAACATCCATGCGTCAAGAGCCTGTCATCGGGAGGTCTGTTTATTACCGCAATTGCCCGGATTTACCCCAAATAATACAGGAAGAGAGCACAGTGGGAAAAAACTGCAATAAAAAAACAAGAGCAAATCCCTGCCTTCCAGTGTTTCATAATCGTTTAACTTTACATACGTACCTAGAAATGGTCTCTCGAGTGACAGACAACTGAAGTTCAGCATTTCCTTCGCTGTCTTTTTCTCTTTTTATACTCAAATAAAATCACGTTACTGATGCCCAGGTAGTAATAGTGTGGTTTGCATCTGCGACGGCCAGTGCGTCCCGTCTCCACGCACATCCCACACGACCTGCGGCCGTCCAGACAGGGCTGTTGGAATGGCGTGCGCCAAACGTAGACGGTGACCGCCATGGCTGGGGCTGGCATTTGTACCCTCCTGCGGGACTTAAATTCCTTATCATAGTCGTGTATAGCTTTTGTAGGAGATATTAAGTGACACAGAAGAAAGACCACCACAACACCACACCCACCCTCCTGAAAAGCCACTCGGTGCTACCAGGGTGGCCCCTGGGGCCTGCGGTGGCGTTGCCAGATCAGTTCTGGGGCAGGTCCCCCAAGCTCTCCCTAAAAGGTGAAGCCACCTGGCTGATCTCGCTCCCAGAGGACAAGTGTCAGCACGACTACGCCCTCAGCCCGGTCAGTGCCTCCTCCCAGAGAGAGTGGTGGGCGCGCTGGGCAGAGGGTCCCTGCTGGGCTGAGAGCTGCCTGCGCTGGGGCAAGACAAGACGTGGTCAGCCCTTGCTGGGACCCGGCCTGCGGAGGCGGCAAACCAAGGAGGTCCGTTAGCTCATGCACGGTGCCAGGAGATGAGACCCTGGATGGGCACACAGTGAGGAGTCAGGACACGGGCCGGAGGCAGAGCCACTGTCTGTCCTGATCCCTGGCACAATCTCAGCCTGCGCCGGGGACTTTGCACACTGAGGTCAAAGGGGCAGGTGGAGGTGCTGGGCCTCCCACTGTGAGCATCTCTGAGCCGTCTACACCACCAGCCCACCTCCCCCACTTCATTTAACCCAGCACAGTGAGATCCACAGAGGAGACCTGTCTACAAAGCACAGATGGAGACAGTCAGGGGTCTCGCCCAGGCACCTCTGAGTCCTGACTCTTGGGCGGCCACTGTGTCCTCTCTGCAGCAAGAGGGCCTCTCACCAACCACCCCCACTCCCGCCGCCCCGCCTGCAGGTGGACTGACGGCACCGACAGGCCTGCAAGCCACCCCCAACGTCTCTTCTGTGCTTCCGGCTCTGCGTGCACCTCTGATCGACAGTGCATGTGGCACAGGCCCTGCCACAAGCCAGGGGGACACTGCCGGGTGGCCTACCGCCCAGCCCGCTCTGGCACAGCCAGGCAGAAGACAAAGGCCTGCTCTCCCCTCTGCACACAAAGGGCCCCCTTCACAGAGGGCCCCGCGGGAAGGCGGAGCCCGGGCCTGGGGCTCAGACGCCAGGTAGCCAGGCAGTGACACAGAGGTCACCTGCCCGGAGACACAGGAGAATTCCCACCACTGGAGGTTCCTGCCATGCCTGGCCGTGGCCTGGGACTCACCAGCCTTGACAGAGCCGCTCTGGGGTCACCCTCTCTCCTGCTGCACGCCCTGGACTCTCCAGCCGCTCCGGGCACTAGACGTGAGACTCTGCGGAAGCTCAAACCCAGCCTGCCCCAAGCCGGCCCCGCCCCCACCACACACCTGCCCCGAGCCGCCACTTCCCTAGTGAGCCAGGCAGGCCCACTCCCAGCGAGGCTCCTTCACCCTGCCCTCCCCTCAGTGGAAACTCCATCCTCCAAGGCCACACGGGAAGATGCTCCAGCCCCTGGACCCTCTGCCACTGCGACTTGTGGACGCCCCTTCAGCCCCAAAGCCACCGCCGTACTCTGTCTGATGCTGGGGCCCGGGCGGGGGGACCGTCCACCTCTGCACCCCCAGTGCATGGGATCAAAGGGTCCTAAATACCGTTGTGTCTAACTGAACACGACTTAATTAGGCAGAAGCAAACACCACCTAGGACGCACCAGAAGACGGAATCACATGTTGTCTAACAGACTCTAGCACACCTGGCCGGAGGCCTCAGACGGTTCCTTACGTAGTCGCAGCGCGAGTGAAACGCCTCTCCTGATCTGCAGAGGCTGGCCAACCTCCCACCCAACCTCAGGTCCCCCCATACCTCAGTCCCTTCTCCTACCTCACTTTGGGCCCCGCCTCCTACCTTACCTCAGGCCCCGCCCCCAAGGCCCCACCCCCATCTCAGGCCCCGCCCCTAACCACCATTACCTGGACCACTCTCTGGCTGCATCACAGGGGGCCTCTCCACGCATTCTGTCTTCACAGTGGGGTCCTCTGACAGCCCCACAGAAACCCCGCCCCATCACCCCCACCCTCGTCACCCATCACCCCACCCGCTTCCTCCCACCCCCACCCCGGACCGCCCTCCCCGCCACACAGGACCGCCAGCCACTCCTCACTGGCCTTCCCTCCCCAGTGCCTAGGACGGGCCCTGGCTGGTCACTGAGGCTGAGCAAGTGAACCCTAAAAGGAGCCACGCCCCAACCCCACGCCCCTGGCCTGGAGAAAGGCCCGATGGCCCTGGACCAGCAAAGCCCCGACAAGGAGCAACCAGGCCCGCCCCGGAATTCCGTCCTCTCATGGGACAGGAAGAGGCCGGAAGAGAGAAAGGCTGCACTAGAAGTGCTCGTCTCCACTTGGAGCAGTCTCCGATGCCATCAGAAAGCCCCGATGAGGCTCAGAAGAAAAACTCGGGGAACAATGGAGGAGTCGTGCGCTGATCGAGTCGTGTGCCAGCTGAGGACAGACGTGGTGGTGTGACTGGAGGACGCGCACCTCACGTCCACGGCCACCCACCAGAGTCACTCGTGCAGCAGGGCCCACCCCCCGACCCGGCCTCTGCCCCGACCCGACCTCCCAGGGGAGGCAAACACCCTGGCAGGACCCTAGACACAGGGAGTGTGCCACAGGGACAGACACGGGGACGGCCACTAAGGGCTCTGGGGCATCCAGGGTGACACTGGGGAGCTGGCCAGCATCACCGTGGGCAAGGTGCTCAGACAGAGCTGTACCCCTGGAAGTGGGGGAGCAGAGACCACCGGGGCTCCACATGGCAGAGTTCAGACACCAGGAAGAGGCAGGGCGGGGCCTGAGGACCCCCACCCCCCGCCCCCGACTGCGGGGCTAGAAGCCCTGCTGGCCGGCGCGCCCACCACCCTGGTTTCCTCCTCAAGGCTCTGAAACGCTCCTTTGTGGCTCTCACCCTGGCCATGGGCCTGGCAAGTAGCAAGTGCTCAACGGATGTTGGAGGACCGAGGTGGGAACAGGGAGGACATGACGCAAGGCTGGTGGCAGGCAGGGAAGGGGGTGGGGAAAGGCGGGGAGCTGGAGGTGCGGGCAAGGCAGAGGTGTGGAGAGAGGAGGGAGCACGGCGTGCTCAGAGCGGCTGGGGCTTCGTGTCTGGGGGGACGCAGGCACCCTCTGGCGTTTGAGCCACAAGTGCCACCGCCCCGACGTGAAGCGAGGGGCGGAGACAGAGCGAGGCACAGGCCCGAGGCTCACCGTCTGCTGCAGGTCCTGGATGACCACGCGGATCACCAGCGTGTTGCCCTGGCTCTCATCCGTCCTGGCGCCGCCTGGCTTCTCCGCGGTGGCCCGGATCGTGTCATAGATGGTCTCTTCTTTGGAGCTGTCTGATTCCGACCCCACGGAATAGTCGGAGAAGCTCTGGGCCATCTCGTCCTCGCTGGACGTGGGGCTGCGCGGCATGGCTGCCCGAGTCTGCGGGGTAGGGAGGGAAGAACACAGGCAAGAGGGAAGGTGAAAACTCAAGACAACCCGGGGCACGGTGCAGACTGGCTCACAGATGAACGTGGGTGCGTTTTCACAGTCTGTTTATCGGTGTGACGCCGGCCCAGGGCCACCTGTGTGTGCACAGACAGGTCCCTGAAGGCAGCAACAAGCTGGCACCGCCCGCTTCTCCCCAGGCCTGAGCCTGGAGCTGCGGCAGCCGGGACCCGGGGAGACCCTGAGAGCTCTGGCCCCTATGCCGTGAAACTCGGCGTTTAAAAGGAGCCCAGACTAACCGTGCGGATGACCACAGCCTACAAGGATTAGCCAACGGCCGCCGGGGCTGTTTGAAACTTCCCAAGGCGAGGAAAAAGGCTGCCTTTTGTTTTCCTTTGAGGGTAGAGCTGCAGGAGAGGAAGGCAGGCAGGCTCCGGGTCAGAGCCGTGGCAAGTTCATGCTATAATAACCCCCTCTGCTTCAAACACAGAGCAACGAGAGGTACTGTGTAAAAATAGAACAAAAAGGCAGGGCCAGGCTCAGAAATGAGAGAATCTCTGGGACCAAAAGCGGAGTGGAGCCCAAAGTCGTGAGCAGGCTGAAGCGGGAGATCTGGGGTCCCCGCGAGGTGGGGGCGGCTGGGAATGCAGCTTCCTCGGGGTCAAGTGCAATGGAAGTGCCCCAGCAAAGGCCCAGGCAAGCTGCTGAAGCCACCGTGGACCAGAGCTTTAAAGTGACCATCGAAAGGACACAGAACTCTGCAAAAAGGTTGCCCACTGTTTGGGGACCGCATCTGTGCCACCCCATCTCTGTGGGAAAGGGGTCCAGATAAAAGTCAGTTTGAACTAGGGGTGCCAGGGACCTGGTGGAGGTGCCACGTGGACCTGGTGCTACATCGGACCAGTAATTTCACTTCTGCATAAATTCTATACAGTGCTGTCCCAGGCAAATGGGGTCTCATGGCCACCCTAATCATCTCAGGACTGCCTGATCAAATCGTGGTCTCTTCTTCCCACAAACTCCATGGGGCTGCGAATGCATGAACCCGAGCTACAGACGGATGATCCCAAAAACATGACACTGAGCAAAAGGAAAGCAATTTGCAGAATGATTCAAATAACATAGCATGTCTAGATAACAGCTAGGAAGACACAACACAATTCCACAGATCATACATGGACGCCTTCACCTGGCGTCATGGCGTAGAAGCCTTTGACCTTTGGAAAGACAAATGCTCCGCTCAGGAGAAGGGCTCCCTCTCGAGAAGAAGAAGGGGTGTGGCAGAGCTTGCCACGCTGCATGGAACCATCTACTTCCTCAAAACAGTGCCAGAAAATCTGACAAAATGCCAAACTTTGATAACGTTAGGGACACAGGTGTTTGCTGTATCATTCTCTATGCTTCTGTCCCTCTGTGTTGCAAATCTTTCATGGTAGAAGCAAGGAAGGAAGGGGTGATGAAGTGTAGGAAGCACAGCCTGCCACCCCAGAAGATGCCACTTTGGCACGAGGACTGTTTTGAGACGAAGACCACTAAGAAGCAGCAGCTGCAAGAAGAGCTCCCCGTCCTCCCCGAAGGCCTCAAAGCAGGAGGCAAACTTTCAAAAGTGTCCCCCCACACACACACCAGGAAGAACAAAAGGTCATCACCAGAGACCCAGAGATGGTGTTAAACCCTATCGGCCCAGAGAGACGACGGCACAGAGAATCTGCGTAGCAAACTTCACTACCGGGCCTTTATCCACCAATCCTCTCCAAACATTTGCCGTCCCACGAGTTGCCTCTCCAGTAGCTCAAGGTCCCGTCTGCCCAAGCCCAAGTTCTAACCGCCCCTCCAGGGTGCCCTTCATGCAGGTTTCTCCCACGGATGTGCACTGCACGCCTTGGTAGACGGTTCTCCTGAATCTGGCTTTTCAATTCAATTGAAATTCAATTCAATCTGGCCAGTTCAATTCACAGGGTCCCAGAGAACCTAGCAGGGTACTAGGAAAAATAATTTTTCTTCCTCTGCGCAAGGAAGGAAGGAGAGAAGGGGGGTGATGGAAGGGTGGTACTCGCACAGATGAATAGCGGGGTGGGTGGGCAGGTGAGTGGGAGACGGACGGGAGCAGGAATGACAAGGAAACCCAACAAGACCCTCTGTAATACAAGATAACTCTGCAGACAGGGAGAACAATGGCATTGATGACGATCCAAAATCAAAGGTTAAAATTCTACTCAGATTCTGGCTATAAATTAAACTACATTCACCGTGCACCAATTATACAGGAGTAACCCACCAGGGGTGGGGCGCGGCTCTAATCGCCAACACACACCTTTCTCTGTGCCATGTGCGGACGGCAGCCTACCGTTTCACAGCACCTTGGCCCGAGGGTCTGCTCCCCTCCACGTCCCCCTCGGGACAGCGCGGGAGCAGCAGCTGCGCACGTCTGGGCGGCGGCATCAGCCGCGGGCACACACCCAGGTGTCCGACTCCAGGCGCTACAGCCGGGCTCCCCTAACGCAATCTCCGCTGCGCATTCTCCTGGGACCCGTGGCCTGCTCAGAGTGGGGAGCGGGGTGGGCGAGGAGGACACCCCACCCTCTGGTTTAGATCCTCCGCGGTGTGACTGCACACGCAGGGGACAAGGGACACCTGCTTCCCCCCCTCTAGTGCCTACAGGGGGAGTGGGCTTTATAGACATCCTGAACGCTCGGGAGTTCCCACGTGAATGCCGGGATTTCGGTCTCCAGGCCCAGCCACCCTGGTGCCACCCCTGCCACGTGGCAGCCACTCGGGCCCCGGGCTACACTGCGCCCCTGGTGGGGCAGAGGGACGGGGTTCGCCCAGCCCCGGCCGCCATCGCCCCCACACTCGGGAGCCGCTGCCCGTCACCATCTGGGCGCTGCCGCTGGCTCTGGGCACAGCTCAGCAGCCAGACGGATCCCGGGCCCCAGCAGAGGTGTGGGTTTCGTGGACCCCGCTCTAGCGCTTTATGACGGAGGTGGGGGCTGCGAGTCCTCAGGAGCGTCCCAGGGAGGACACGGTTGGTTCACCGATGCCAACACTCAACCTTCAATTGTAGGAAGGCCGGTGCCAACCGCCTACTTCCAGAGTTTACTGACCAGCAAACAGACGCCGCAGGGAGCTCCGCCCGTGACCCCGTGCAGGCGCTTCTGCACCAGCCACCCGCGGCAAGCGGAACAACAAAGCAGAGCCACAAGGGAGCCACTCCAGAGCCAGGCCCCTCCCCGAGGAACCGCCAGACCCCGACCGGGGTCAGAGGCTCCATTACCACCAAGGAGGTCCCAGACATCTGCAGAGGGGGGTCCAGTTCCTGGGGCCACAGACACAGAGGCTGTTTGGTGTGACCAACCCGCCACTGGCCCGCACAGGGTTCCGAGTGTTTGCTAATCTGGAGATTTCGCATGCAAACCCCGACTTCTGGCTTCTTTCCACCGTCAGGAGGGCCTGGCAATGCGGGAGGCTGCCACGTGGCAACAAGGGCAGCAGGGAGCTGCGGGGACCTCCCAGGGCCGGGCAGCCCCACCAGGTCCTCAGAGAAGTGCGGAGACTCCAGACCACCTGCCTTCATACCCCCTCTCCTCACTGGCGTTCCCTTCCCACCCGGCTGTGAGCTAGAGCCCCGGACCACAGATCTGGGCTCCTTGTCTGTCTCCTTCTAGCCCCTCCGTCAGCCCAGCCAAAGGGAGAACCACCGAGCCAAAAAAACGTCTTGAGCAACCATTCCAATCACCCAGGACGTTGTTTTTTTTTTTAAATAAAAATTCTGAAGTTCACCCCAGTGCAATTCTGAATTAAAATCCCAGGGCAAATGAGTATTCCTGCATTTGCTGTCCAAATGCCTTTGTATTATAATTTCAGCTTTAAGTTTTTACAACCGCAGATGTGCAAGACCTGGTGAGGCAAGAGGGCGCGGAGGCTGAAGGCAGGTTGTGGGTAGGCCTGGCCCCTTCAGTAGGGCCCCGGCCTCAAGGCAACGTCTAGTAGCTGATTCGTGCACGCACGCATTCATTCATTCATTCATTCATCACCCTCCACATGTGAGTTAACACGTGTAACTGCCAAAATAGTGCACGGTATACAAGTGGTGTGAAATATTTATAACTGTCATTAATTCCAGCCAAGCCTCAGGTTCTGATGAAGCATGTCCAGTTTGCACCCTGACTGCACAGGGAAGTTACTCCAAGAGCTTTAAAAAAAAAAATTCCAGCACCGGAAATTCTGATTTAATCAGTCTGGGTTGAGGCCCCAGTGTCAACACTGTTTTTGCAAAGTTCTCCAGGTGACCCAGTGGGCATCGTAGATGGGAGTCCCAGCTCTGGATCAACCCTGAGCCAAGTGTGCAGGTCTAACCCTAAAGGATGCGGCAGCTACACAGCATGACCCCGAGTGAACAGGAACCAGCCTTCCCCTGGGGCTAGGGGGGCCACGTCCTGAGCTGCCCAAGACAGCACGAGAGGCATGGCATGGGGTGCGCTGCCTAAGTGGTCATGATGGACATGGGGCAGCCAAGCAGGCCCCCACTGCTGGTTTTGCTACTCTGGGGTTCCAGTAGATTCCTTCTGTGCTAACAGGTATAAATGACCCCAGCGTGGCTTCAGCTCCACTTAAGAAGGGGTCCTTATGGTCCCAGCTGGGTCTGAGAGAAAGAAAAAGACCAGAGACGGAATGGGGCGCATCACACCCACATAGGAGGGTCCGTGTCTGATGAGAGCGGTGGCCATGGGCATGCTGGGCAGCAGGGCCTACAGCAGAGGCAGGGACACCACTAAGGACACGGTCCCAGGCACACCCGCTGCCGCGTGGCTCTTCCCACGCAGGGTGAGCGTGGGCTGCTCTGTCAGCCCCCAATACCCCAAGAGTGCGCAGCCTTCAGGACAGTGCAGGCCTGCACCTGGTGCTGTTGTGGGAGGAGCCTCCATGTGGGCACCTGAGAAATGAGCGCAAGAGCCCCAGCTGGGCACCTGGCACCAGCAGTCACGGCCCGGGCC